GTTCAGAAAACACACCACGTGTGCAAAGGTTTCCTTTGCTCCAAAGCAGACGATCAGCACTTGTGAGCAATGTGTTCTCTGGCAGAGCAGTTCTGGATGTTGACTGAGCACCAGAGAGCACCTAATGTGCTGAAACAGAATGAAAAGGAAATATTTTACAGTGGACCTGTGTTTCGAATGCCAATAAAATAAAAAGATGAGAAGAAGATGGCAGGCTTCCTAATCCTGAAGAGAAAACATGAGAAAGTGGAAGAAACAAAGTGTTAGGAAAAGGCGTTTGCAGACACGGGACCCCTGGAGAAGCACACTCTGGCTCAACATGTGTGGAGAACAATTTCGCAGTATGTCAAGTCTGGAATCTGCCCGCTCTTAGGCATGCTCACTGTGGCGCTCTCTATAATAACCGAGAAACTAGAAACATCAGAAGAGGTAGAATAGAGTGGCCCGATTCTAAGACCCTTGTATTTCATTGTGTGATCATGTTCCTACTTACAGGAAGGAATGCCATCTTCTATTAGCAAATGGAAATGTTGCTTAAAAACATTCTAGTAATCTTTTTTTGTATTTTGCTTTTTAACATGTGTGTATCAAAGCCAGAACTACTGAACACATTTTGCTTTCAGATGCTATATTCATTATTCCATTGTCGTGCAACAAATTATCTCCACATTTAGCATCTGAAAAAAATAACTTTTATTCTCTGAGATGGTTTGTGAGGGTTAGGAATCTGGGCATGTCTTGATTCGGTGTTTCGGGCTCAGGATCTCTCAGGAGATGGCAGTCATGTTGTCAACTGCTCCGGTCTCGACGTCTCCGAAGATATGAATGGGGCTGGAGGAGACACTTCCATGCTCCTCCACACAGGTTTGTCAAGAAGACTCAGTTCTTTGCCACAAGGGCTGCTTATGACACTTCCCCCAAGTGAGAGGAGGGAGGGGGGAAGGAGGGAGGGGGTGGGAGAGGGAGGAGGGGGTGGGGGAGGGGATGGAGAGGGGGAGTTGGGGAGGGGAAGGACTAAGACAGAAGCCACAGTGTCTTTATAACACAGTTTGAGAAAAGACACACCACCACTTCTGGTGTTGACACAGCCCAGCCCCGGTGCAGTGTGGGAGTATATAATAGTGTGACTACCTGGAGGCAGGGTCATCGAAGGCCCTCCTGGACTGTGGCTGTCAGAGCCTGTCCTCACTCCTTCCCAAGGCCCACGAGTCTCATCCCTTACAGCACTAGTTAAATTCCAGAACCCCATCATCAATCCAGGCTGGGTGCAGATGAGGCTCAGAAGTCATTCCTTAAGTACAGTTCCTCTTGATTTGAAGGCTGTCCGTTGAAGAGACCAGTCATCTGTCCCCTAGCTGGCTGACATATCAAAGTGGCATAGGAGTAAAATAACCACCATATATACTCTTGCTCAAAAAGGAAGAAAATGGGAGGAACCCAGGGCAGTGATCCACAGAAATTCTGAAATCCAGCTGAGCAAATGCCAGAAGTTCCTTTGGGTGCGTCCTACTGCGCCCCGTTTGTATTGTCCACGGCTCTTGGACCCACCCTCTGGGCTCTTGGTTCTTCCCTTCTGGACTTCCAGCCTCCAGAACCGTGAGAATAGAAATTCCTGTTGTTTAAGCCCCACCCCCCACCCCAACCCCAATCTCTGGTATTGTGTTATGGTAGCCAAGCAGACCAATACACCCATCTTCTGAGAACTTGCTATTGCCAAATCCAAATTTCCTCTTTTTAAAAATCATTTTTGATGCATATAACTACACATCCATTGATACGATTAGAGTTGTTTCTATGCAAAATGCATGTGATTGGGTTTGTGTCCGATCTAATCGGAAAGTCCACGTTCACTCGGAGAACCGAAACTTTCCCTGTCAGTGTCATTTCCGATCCAACCCTCCGAGGTGGGAGCCGAAGGGATTTACGACTCTGTAGGAGGGGAATGTGACAGGAGAGGCTGCTCATGGCTTACTGTGGACTGAGTTTAGGGATCATACTGTAATGGAAAAGTGGTGTACAAGGAATCACCACATCAGCGCATTTCAAGAACAAATCATTACTCTTCCCGGGCCAGGGAGCAGAGACCTGCCAAATTACCCAAAAGACGGGGGGCAGCACAAGTCCAGGAACCAGATTTCAGAAAGCAACCCCGGGAGGAATTCTCAGACGGAGGAGCTAGCGGCAGCGGGAACTCTGCAAGCCTCCAGGAGGCCCAGCGGGAGCCCCACGCGGCTGTCCGAGGCCCGAGAACGTGCTAACTCATTCTTCGTTGCTCTGCCTCCGAAAACACAAAGTTCTGGTCACTTGTTTATCCTTTCGGTGTCTTCCGTGGTGATTTGCAGAACCAGCATCCTGCGTTTAGTACCCATGTTAACTTTCAACTGAATGAAACATATTTTAACCTGTGTTTCTCTAGTGATCGAAGTCTTTGGCCTGATCTGCAATAAAGAAGCTGAGCATGCTTGTACTTCATTTTAGCTTTTATCTCACCTTAGAATGTATTATAAACCCAATCTGTTACATAACCAATCAGTCAAGGTTTCTTTTTTTTTGGGTTTTTTTTCAATTCATGTTTTTCCCCAAAACAATTTTAGCTTCTGAACTTCGTAACTATATTTTTAAAACAGATATGCATTGATTGGCTCCACAGGGACCATCACTTCTTTTATATCTTGACTTCCTTATTTTTAGGTTATTAATTTTGATTTTTTTTTTTTTTAAGAGAGATTTTTAGCCCAGCCGGTGTGGCTCAGTGGTTGAGCGTCGACCCATGCACCAAGAGGTCGCCAGTTCGATTCCCGGTCAGGAAGCCTGATCCCCAGTGGGGGGTATGTAGGAGGTGTCCAACGATGTTCTCTCTCATCCATGTTTCTATCTCTCTCTCCCTCTCCCTTCCTCTCTCTCTCAAATCAGTAAAGAAAAAAATATGAAAAAAATTTTTTAAATTAAAAAAGAGATTTTTATTTTTAAAAATTGATTTGGGGGGGGGCATTCTGGGGATCGAACCTGAAACCTGGGTATGTGCCCTGACCAGGAATCAAACCCGCCACCTTTTGGTGTACAGGATGCTCAGACGAACTGAGTCACTCTAGCCAGGGCAAATTTTGATTTTTTTTTTTAGTGTCCTGTAAAGTAGAGGTCTTTGACTAATTTTTAAGGAAGGCCACATGGGTGAAATTGCTTCTGATTCTTAGATATATTGAAAATATTCTTCTACTGCCTGTACTCACGGATTAATTTGGGCTTGGAACAGTATGCTCAGGTCATGAAGTTTCCTCCTTAGAGAAGCAGCTATTTCTCCATTGGCGCTGGTGAGTAAAAACGGAACCTAGCCTTGTTTTTCCCCTTGTGGGTAAACTATTACCTCTGTCTGGTTGCTTATATGATCACCTTTTTTCTCTGGATTTTCAGGCTATATCTGGATATGGACATCCCCCACCCCCACCCCCATCAAAATCTTGATTTTCTTTTTTACATTAAGGAAAATATTTTTCTATGATTATTTTTATACTTTTTCTATTTTCTATTTCTTTTGCTCCCACATTTTCAGGAACATTTTTTTTTTTTTTTTTTTTTTTTTTTTTATCCTCACCCGAGGATATTTTTCCATTTTTTGTACAGATAGAGTGGGAGGGAGAGAGAGGAAGGAGAGAGAGAGAGAAACATCGATGTGAAGGGACACATCGAGTGGCTGCCACCCGCACGACCAACCAGGGCCGGGGACAAACTGCAACCGAAGTACGTGCCCTTAGCGGGAACCGAACCCGGGTCTCTCCGGACCGCAGGCCGACGCTCTAACCGCTGAGCCAAACTGGCCAGGGCAGGAACATTTGTTATCCACAGGTTGGACTGTTACCACTTTCACTCTGTGTCTATTATGATCTCTTGCCGTTCTGTCTTCATACTTCACACGGCCTTGGGAAGTGGGTTCACAGATTACATGCTGTTCCTCGTATACTCTGCTCGCTGGCGCAGCTATAGCATGTTCACCTGACGCGGCACCCTCTCTCGTGTTGGCTGTCTCCGTGTTTGATAAGGGTAGGTTTCCTGGAGTGACTTAAACTCACCTGCCAGGGTGGCATCTGCCAGGGCCTCGCCTGGGATCTGTGCGTGGAGGGGGGCCTGATATGCACCACCCTGGCCCAGTTCCCTGCAGGTACTCATCAGTCTGGCTCTGTCCCACCAGGTTGGAGCCTGACCACTATCGCTCCAGGGACGCTCTGCCTCGGAGCGTCTCCTCGGGGAATATCTGTCCCCATATACCATTCATCCTCCTCCCTCTACTCACTCTGGGTTGCACGGGAAGATGTGATCTTGGAATCATGTGCAAACTGAAGGAGAGTTGCATGGGGCCCCGGTTTTGGCCCTTTTGGGACCTAATTCCCATGCAGGGTACCAGTGGTCTGGTTTCAGGTTACAAGAGCTCCAGCCCCCGAGCCTGGCAGAGGTTAGGATAAGCAAATCCTCCTCTTGGGTCTTGTTGTCTATTCAGTGTTGCGCTTAGAAGATAAAACAGCTGTTGCCGGGGTAGCGGGTGTTTTCTCAAACCAGCCCCACTGGCACTGTGCTTGGTGAACATTCCCTTTAGATTTCTCCCGAGTGTTTTACCAGGAAAGAGAGTACATCTCAAGCTAATCGAACGGTTAATTTTTACATATGCCTGGCGCAGTTTCCCCCCAGAGAACAATGCATTCGTTATACAGAGAGACAATGACTTTTCAATTTCAGCAAGGGCTGAAAATTACTCCATTCACCAACTTCCACAGTAGCGGAATGAAGCTGGCGGGTGGAATTCCAAAGATGGGCGGGAAGGGTTGCACTGTGGCACTCGGGCCCCCAGAGCGGGCGGCGGGCACGCACGGTGGCCAGTAGGAGGTCCAGCTGCTTCCAGAAGCTTGTACTTACACTGACTCCGCCCGAACATTTAGCAGACAGTTCGCCAGTATGAAAGTGCCTTAAACACGCGTCAAGAGGAAAAATATAACACGACGTATCCGTACCTTGTAATACATTCTGGCCACCAAGCTCCGCTGAAGAACCCTTCACGCAAAGTCTCTGCTTTCAGCAGAAAGACGAGATCACCGACGGTGTCCATGTAAGATGCCAGGAAACTAAGGGAAGACACAGTGCCCATCATTACTCTTTTGTCCTCACCAAGGCACACGTCTGCAAGAAATACAAGGGCTTGTCTTTTCTTTTTGTTAATCCTCACCCAAGGATATTTTTTCCATTAATTTTTCGAGAGAGGGAAGGGAGTGGGGAGAAAGAGAGAGACCCAGATGTGAGGGAGACACGTCGACTGGCTGCCTCCCACAGGAGTCCTGACCTGGGCAGGATCATACAAATCTGCAGCCCAGGCACATGCCCTTGACCAGGAAATGAACTGGCGACACTTTGGGCCAAGGGCCGACACTCCAACCACTAAGCAACACCAGCCAGGGATGAATAGTATTTCTTACATACATTATGTATCAGGCACTGTGCTAATTACTGCTGTGAATTATTCAATGAGCTCAATAATTCTACGATGTCAATACTATAAATATCCAATGTGGAGCTGGAGAAACTGAGGCTCAGCATGATGTGGACGCTGCTCAAGGTCACAGCGGCAGAACACGCTCAAGCTCGGGCTTTGTCTTGGGGGACACTTGGACTTAAGGGAAGGGGAGCAGGAGGGACAGTGAGGGGTGTGGGCAAGCACACAGTAGGGTGTGCCACAGAAAGGGTGACTTTCTCCAGCAGATAGAAATTTTCATTTTTCCCATCTGGCAAATGAGGAAACTGAGGCACAGAGGAGTTAAGAGACTTGGGAACAATAGTCTAAACACCCAGGGTCAGAGCCACGCCTTGCCCCCCACCCCCCACCTATTCTCACGGAGCCTGTGCCTACGACTGACTCCTCCCACAGCCCAGAGGAGGGGCCGCGGGTGCCCACACCTTAGCTGCTGCTCGGAGGGATTTCAGGGCCCCAGGACGTTCCAGCCGTCTTTCCTCTGTCCCCGCCTTCTCCCGTGAGCTGTCCTGGGACAACCGTCCCACTGCTCTGCTAGGGCGTAAGCTCCACGCAGCTGAGAGCCTGTCACGGCAGTGTCGCCAATGCCCGGAGAAGTGCCCAGGTCACAGCAGGGAGGACAAGCTTTTCTTAATATCCGTAACAATCAGAGCAAGTAAGGTTTGGGGACTTACGCAGACAAACACAGACAGCCGGAATCAGTAAGTCTAACTGCGGGAGGGAGATGTGCACGGTTGTGGGGTTAATCACCGAAACAAAAATAAATGGACTGGAACTTTCCAAATATTTACAATTGGAAAACTGCCTCTGGCGCGTCGCGTCTGCCCGGGAAGATGTGCCGGGAGCAGAGTCGCATGTGGGCGAGTCGCTGTGCGCGCAGCGCGCGGGGACAGGCCCGTCGGCAGCTCAAGAGAAGGCGAGGGCAGATGCGCCTGGCGTTTGGGACAAGGCTCCCGAGGGGCCGGGCCGATCCTGAGGCACTGTTCTTCAACTCCCTACGTGTTGGAACATCTCAAATAATCAACTGGGGGAAGGCTATCGGAACGATAAAACGCCCGCTCGGGACCAGAAATATTAAAAAGATGCACTGACTTCGTAGAGCGTGCAGGACAAATGGAGACATTAAGACTCGGAGACGTAAGAGACACCGTCCTGGGACACGGGAGCTGACGAGAGAGACTGCAGTTTGAATAAACAGGAATCTGAGCAGAGGTCCGAAAGGGAAGAAAGGACAGAGAGTAGCTTTCTTCATTCCACTTCATGCCATCGCTGATGGGAAGTCCCACACTATCATTTATGTGTTTCCCATGTTATTTTGTTGTTGTTGTTGTTTTAATCCTCACCTGAGGACACTTTCTCCATCTATCTTCAGATAGACTGGGAGGGGGAGAGAGAGCGAGCAAGAAACATCGATGTGAGAGAGGCACATGGCCTGGTTGTCTCCTACATGCCCCAACCGGGGCCGGGGACCGAACCACAACCCAGGTACATACCCTTGACTGGAATTGAATCCGTGACTCTTTGTTCCACAGTCCAATGCTCTAACCACTGAGAAAGAATGGCCAGGGCTGTGTTTCCCATGTTTTTAATCATGATTATAAGATTATATTTTCTAATGAACAGTTTCCTTAGAAATTAGTTCAATATATTTAGGTTACAGAGAACAATAATCTGCCTCCAAATAAAAACAATAATTTTAAAAATACACAAAAGGAAAAAAGCATGTAAGCTTCTCAAAAGTAGAATAAAGGAGACAATACATTTATGAGCATAAATCAATGAAGTAGGAGAGAGGTACGACAGAGCAGATCAATAAAGGGAAAAGCTAGCTGTTTGAGAAAAAATCAACTAGACAAACACCTGATGAGATTAAACTATACAACAATACAGAAGAGAAGGCACAGAAATAAACTCAGAAATGACAAATAGGACATTACGACAGATTAGTGAAAGAGAAAAATATAATTAGAGAATAGTATGAAGAACTTAATACCAATAGATTCAAAACCAAATGGATAAATTTCTAGAAAAATACCATTTACTAAAACTGACACAAAAAAGACTAAATGGTCTTAGAACAATTAAACAAATTGAATCAGTAGTTTAAATATTCCCCTAGGCTCAGAGAGGTATCAATTAACTTATCAAAATTTTCAAGAGCACCCTGGCTGGTTTGGCTCAGCAGTTGGAGCGTCGGCCTGTGGACCAGAGAGTCCTGGGTTTGGTTCCTGCTAGGGGCACGTACCAAAAAAAAAATTTTTTTCAACAGAATAAGAAACTACTTCCACAATAACTTTATGAGATCAGAAAATACTTGATATAAATCCAAATCAGGAAAGGGCAAGAAAAGAAAACAATGTGCCAATCAATATACAAGTTCCCCACCCCAAAATACAAGCCAGCCAAGCCCAGGAAAATATAAAAATGCTAACACAGCATAACAAAATTGAGTGTTTCTCAAGCATGCAGAAGGAGTTTAACATTAAAACATTTACAAGGGTTAGTTACTAAATTAACAGACTAAAGAAAATTCATCATAAAATCATTTCAATGAATGCAAAAAAAAGTTATTTGTAATAAAATTCAAATTCATCATCTAGTAATGACAAAAATACATTAAAAATAACAAGAAAGGCCCTGGCCAGGTAGCTCGAGTTGGTTAGTACACCAAGGTTGTGGATTCGGTCCCCAGTCAGGGCACACACAAGAAGCAATCGATGAGTGCATACATAAGTAGAATAACAAATTTGATGTTTCGCTCTCTTTTTCTAAAAATCAATAAGAAAAATAACAATACATGGAGCTTCTTTAGGAACTAAAGCTTGTCTATGAAAATTTCAACAAATATTCTTCACGGTGAAATGTTAAACTAATTCTTTTAAAACTAGGAATAAAACAAAAGAACACCTTCCATACAAAAAAGGACAAAAGGAGTAACAACTGGAAAGGAAGACAAAAGAAATCATTGTTTGCAGATGGTATCGTTGTCTATGGAAAAAAAAACAAACCAAAGAATCTAAGCACAAACTAAAAAAAAATTTATTTATGTTCAGGTTTATATATAAAAGTCAGCTGCATTTATAATGAACTGACAACATCAAGAAAACAATTAAAAAATACTCTTTTTACAGCAACAACATTACAAAGTACCTAGTAATAAATCTATGAAAGGCTGTACTACATATGGAGAAAATTATAAAACTCTGGAAGACATGAAATTAAAATCACTAAAGATCATTTTATAAATATGTGAATTTATGCAAATCTATAGATTTAGTACACTGTCAAAGAAAATTCCAGCAGATTTTTAAATTATGGTAAATATACAGAACACAAGATGTACTATTTTAAGTGTGCAATTCAGTGGCAGTAAGCACATTTACATGGTTGTGTAGTCAGCAACCCCACCCATCTCCAGGGCTGTCCATCCCCCGCAAGCTGAGACGCTGTCCTGACCAGATACTAACTCCCTACTCCTCCTCCCCAGCCCCTGGTGACCACCATCTACGTTCTGTGTCTCTGAATTGGACCACTCTAGATACCTGATCAAAGTACAACCATATGGTATGTGTCCTTTTGTGTCTGTCTGCAGGTTGTTTTTCAAGGAACTTGTCAAACTGATTCCAAAATTTATATGAAAATGCCAAAGACCCAGAACAGCCAACACAATCCTGAGTTCTATTTCAGATATAGTATTATATCATATTTGTTATATAATAACATTATATATTATAAATCTAGTGTAATTGTAATAGTGTATCATTGGATTAAGGATATGCAAACAGAGAGGAACAACATAGCCCCAAACAGACTCTGCAGATAGAATTTAATGAAGTCCAGAGAGCCAATGCGGATCACTGGGAAGGGATTCAATTCCGGAAACGGTGCTGGAGCAATGAACAGCCCGAAGGGAGGAACAAATGAAATAGATCGCTTCCTTACACCACAGGCAAAAATTTCTAATAGATTCAAGAATCTGCCCTGGCCAGTTTGGTCAGTGGTTATAACATTGGCCATGGACCAAAGGGTCTCCGGTTTGATTCCCAGTCAAGGGCACATACCTCGGTTGCAGGTTTGATCCCTAGCCCTGGTTGGGGTCGTGTGGGAGGCAACTAATCGATGTGTCTCTCTCACATTAATGTTTCTCTCTCACCCTTGCTCTCTCCCTTCTCTATGTAAAAAAAAAAAAAATCAATGGAAAAATATCTTCGGGTGAGGAGTAACAACAACAAAAGCATTAAATATGAAAGGTGAAACTCTCAAACCAAAAAATATATATTTCTTGATCTAAAAGTGGACAGGATGCAGAAAGTGGGAATCTAAAAGAAAAGACTGATAAATTCCATTGTAATGGAAGAATTTGTGTTAACCAAAAGACATCATAAAGAAAATTTAAGAGAATCCACAAACTTGGAGAGTATAACTGTAACATCTATAACAACAGAGGACAAAGAACCCCTAAGAGTCAACACGAGTAAGGCAACAAAAACAGAAAAATTGGCAAAACACATGAATAGGCGTTTCACAGGAGAAGATATGCAAACGGCCATCAACATGAGAAAGCAGGCTCATGCTTAACATTGGTAAGAAAAATGCAATTAAAAATCAGTGAGAGACCTTTTTCTTATGTTATATTGACGAATATTAAGTACAATAAAGGCAAGTGCTGATAAGAATGTGGTTTCACAGGATACGGCTGCTGGAGGGGTATAAGTTGTACAATCTTGTTTAAACACCAGTTGACTCTCTCTGGTGCGGCCGAACCCTGCACACCCCACCAACAGCAGCCTGCGTGCGTCCCAGGCAATGTAATATACACTGCTGAGGAGTGTCTTCCAGACAACAGACTGAAAATCACTAATGAGTCATGAAATCAGTTTAAAGGATTGAGATCAGAATTTCTAAAAGTTTAAAAATATCAGAGAGCAGCATGAGCGATACAGGATAGGGGGTGCCTGCTGGGGGGTGCTCGATGAATGTGTGGGTGTCGATGGGATGTAAAATGTATTTCTTTCTCTGAGTCACGGCTGCTAAATGTGAAAGCCCTGTTGAAACACACACACAGAGCTTTATACAAAATATCAAAAACACAGCCTACATGTCCACAGGAGATGAGAATGGTAAGTAAATTATGATGTGCATGCACCGGGAAATGTAATGAGCAAAGAGAACAGCTCTTCAGCTACACACAACCGCTTGGATGAATCTTAGAAACAAAATACTGAGTGACAGCAGGAAGCCCCAGAATACCACCTACATTATGCCTCATTTATCAAATTTAAAGTCAATACTAAAAAATCAAATAAAGAGCCCTGGCTGGTTTGGCTCAGCGGTTAGAGCATGGGCCTGCGGACCAGAGAGAACTGGGTTCCATTCCTGCTAAGGGCACGTACCTCGGTTGCAGTTTGTCCCCAGCCCCGGTTGGGGTTGTGTGGGTGGCAACCAGTCAATGCGTCTCTCTCACCTTGATGTTTCTCTCTCTCTCTCTCTTCCTCCCTCTTTCCCTTCTGCTCTATCTGAAGATAAATACAAAAATGTCCTCAGGTGAGGATAAAAACAAAACAAGTCAAATAAAGGCAACCAAAGGCATGAATCCTGAAGCCAGACTATCTAGATTCAAATCCTAGCTCCACCGCTCATTAGCATGCCACCTTGGGTACAATACTTAACCTCTGAGCCTCAGCTTCCTCATCTATGAAATGGAAATAATAACCTACCTCGTGATTTTTATCATCAAAACCTGTAAAGCACACCCTGGCTGCTTTGGCTCAGTGGTTAGAATGCCAGCCTGCAGACCAAAGAGACACAGGTTTGATTCCGGTGAAGGGCACGTATCTCGGTTGCAAAATTTGGTCCCTGGCCCTGGTCGGGGTCGTGCGGGAGGCAGCCAGTCAACTTGTCTCTCTCACATCGATGTTTCTCTCTCTCTCTCTCCCCCCTCCCACTCTATCTGAAGATAAATGGAAGAATGCCCTCAGGTGAGGATTAAAAAAAAACAAAACACCTGTCAAGCGCACAGAACAGTGAACACACACAAGTAAAGAAGGCACACAGTGGAAAGAACAGAATTAGCACTGTTGTACTTCTTAAGCTGGGGAGTGCATGTAAGAAGGTTCATTTCACATATTTGTATTTTTGTATATATACCAAATAGCAAACATTTCAAACAACTGAGCTGTGCCATGGCAGGCTCTCTGCTCTCAGGCTCAGTAATAAGACACTGTGGGCCCAGAATGGTGATGGCCTGGTTCTGAGCGAGTCGGCCCCAGACGCAGCCCAGCTCCGGAGCAGGCTAGCAAGCGGTCTTTCTTCGCACTGTTTGGTGTACGGAGCCAGCACTTCCCGCACCACGACCTGTGTGCAGTTGATCACTTGTCAGAAATGTAAAAAAGGCCAGTGTCCTCCCATGCTGCAGCCAGGTGAGTTCTAGTTGCTTCTAGTAAACTCCTTGAAAGGAACCAAAGACAAGACCTCATCCTTCCAGGGGCCCCTCACCCCACAGCAAACGGGTGGCGCTTACCATGCACTCTCAGTCCCTCCCAGCGTGGCCAGTATCTAAGCAGACCCAGCTCGCTCTCCCCGAGTCACCAGCCGCTAAGGCTGGTCCCAGTACCACTAATTTCAGCGGATGCTTCAGCTGAAACTGACTTGCCTTCCCTGGACCAGAGAGATGTTTGGTCTGCTTTCTTTATTTCCTCTGACAGTCTAAGGCTGATTTGGCCTGGGGGGGGCGGTGTACACGTAAAACCATCCCATCAGTCTCCTCCCTCCTTCGCTTTCAGGTTATGATTTGGGCTGAATCGTAAGTACTGCCTGCTTTTCCGGGTTTGTTAAAAAGTTGTCCATGGCAAGCCTGCGGCAGAGCGAGGCCCAGCTGACGGCAGCCGCCACTGGATGACCACCACCGTGTGAGTGGCCCCAGCAAGGCCAGGGAGGAACGGCACCGGTGACCCGGCCCAAACTGCCGACTCAGACACACAATTGCCTGTTGTTTTAAGCTACTGAGCTTGGGGGTGGTTTGCTACACAGCAATAAATATCTGATTCACTCTCCGACGAAACCAGAATATGTCCTTCTTTGTTTCATATATGTTGATGTGTTGTATAAAGAGGCTATAAAATGCCTATGCGTTTGATCAGCAGTGTATCGGAAGCAGTAGTTTGGTTCACATTGCTATTTTGGATTCTATCTCTTTAATGGCCGTATACTGTGTTTTGTTTGGAAAAAGTCATAGGTAATTAAACATTTCTATTCAGTCAGATATTTAGGCTGTTCCCAGTTTTAATGTGTCACTAATAACCTTGATATCCATGCATTCAGACATGCATTTATTACCTCAGAATAAATCCACGAGTCAGTCAACGAGGTCTTTATGAAAGTCGCCCTGCCTATAGGGGGGATGCTGGGAGCTCATCAAGGCATAGGTGTCTGGGAAGCTTTCCTGGTGGGGTGGGCCGAGCCAGGTGTGCAACTCAGGGGACAGTGTCCCATCCAGTGCCCTGTCGAATGCCACGTGGTCAAATACAGGCAGAGGACTGTCCTCACTCAGTTACACGGAATCTTTCAGGTTCTCCCCGCCCCAGGCCTGTGGGAGGACTACACTCCCTGTCCCCCTGAAGTCGGAGGGGACCCCAGGACTCGCTTTAGGCCAGTGACACCCAAGCTGGTTCGATGTTTCCACTTGTGACTGGTCCATAGCTCTGGCTTCAGTCTACATCAGGGGCTGCCTCGCCAATTCCGTGTACAGTGGTGGCATTGTTAGATCTTACGGTGTTGGTAGGTTTATCATAAATTACTTCCCTTTGGTTTCTTCGAAGTAATAAATTCTTGAAATTATGCCTCTAGATATGTTATACCATTTATGATTTCACTTTAAGACAGCAAAGAGGTTGTCAAAAAATATCTTTATAAAAAAGAGGGCATTGGCCCCCGCCAGCATGGCTCAGTCGGTTGGAGCCTCATACTGTGCACCGAAGGCTTGTGGGTTCAATTCCCGGTCAGAGCACATACCTAGGTTGTGGGTTCAATCCCTAGTCAGGTCATGTGCAGGAGGCAGCCTCTTGATGTCTCTCTCTCTTTCTCAAAATCAATGAACATGTCCTCAGGTGAGGATTAAAAAATAAATTAATTATTTAATGTAATTAAATACAAAAGAGAGCATCAGGTCTGATACATTTAAGAACCACTGTTGTTAGGGTTCAAGGAGCATGAACAATTTTATGGCTGCTGTTATACAAAATAAGGGTGAAAATCAAAACACTTCTGGCAGAGGAAAAATGGGGGAAACTGGTTAACTTTAACTAGAATTCCAGTCACAACGATACAGCAGCCCAGCTCCGTTTCCCTGACACATCACTGGGACTGACATTTACATTCTTTGTTTTCTCGAATCTATGAAGTTTACGATGGTTCTACCTCTAGTTCCCTCTTGGTACAAGAGCATGATCATCCCAAGAATTAAATTGGCTTTCTCTTTACCTCTGGACCTTTATCTTTCTTCATTTTCTTTTTCTTTTTTTTTTTTATCCTCACCCGAGGACAGTTTTTCCATTTTTTTTGTTGTTGTTGTTGTTCAGGTAGAGTGGGAGGAAGAGAAAGAGAGAGAGAGAGAGAGACATCGATGTGAAAGGGACACATTGAGTGGCTGCCACCCGCACGACCAACCAGGGCCGGGGACAAACTGCAACCGAGGTACGTGCCCTTAGCTGAAACCGAACCCGGGTCTCTCCAGACCACAGGCCGATGCTCTAACCGCTGAGCCAAACCGGCCAGGGCATCTTTCTTCATTTTCTTCTTACCACTATGCTACCTGATGACACAGAGCATAGCAACCTATGCGCTGGTCTCCTGGCTTTCTGCGGCCTGGAAGGTGAGCGCTGGGAGTCTGTTCATCTTGTGCGGTCAAACGAGGGATGGCCCCGGGCTGGGAACGGAGGAATCTTTCTTAAATGAGGGGATGAACAAACAAACCCCGTCCTGTTTTCAATATCTCATCCAATCTGTTCAGTTCCTTCATAACTTCCTTCTGCCTCTGATACTACGTCCACCTTTTCGGTTCAAGCAACTTAAAGTGGGCGAGTTAAGTCACTCTCACATGCATTACAATTAGAATGACATAAGCATCCAGTTCAGGGGCTAAACGCAACAGAAAAACAGATCATTGAGCCAGCCGATTTCACGAAAGCAGATTGTTTTGCTCCTTTTTTTTATTTCCTATTTGTTCCTTGCTTTTGGTCTCTTTCCTCCTTTTCTAGGTCATGAGACAAGAAAACGTGATTTTAAAAATGAGTTTATTTTCTGCTGCTGATGCCCCCTGGGTGAAAGATTAAATGATTGAAGCCATCAGCTACCATGGGGTTCGAGCTGTACACTCTCTAGATCCAATACTTTATTTGATAAATGACCAGGGAAAGGCAAAGATAGATCAGTCACCTTCTCAACTGGACCTGCAACGAAGATTAGCTTGTCTAACCTTGTAGATGTGGTCCTGAGCACATCACAGTGTACTATGTGTGCACACGTACACAATATACATACTGCATGCCAATTCTAATTATGCTATGTACTACACACTAATATATTATCTATATACATGTATACATATATCAATTTTTAACTTTCTATTTTAAAAAAATTACAGACCCACAAAAAGATTAAAAAAATTAAAACAACACAGAGAAATTTTTTTCTAGCCATCACCCAGATGACCCCAAAAGTGATATCTTACATAACAACAGTGATTATCAAAACCAAGAAATGCAATAAAAAATATTTTGGTTAATCCTCACCTGAGGATATATTGTCCATTGGTTTTATTTTATTTTTTTATTTTAGAGAGAGAGGAAGGGAGAGGGGAAGAGAGATAGAAACATTGACTGGCTACCTGCTGCATGCCCCCCACTGGGGATCGGACCCACCGCCTGGGTATGTGTCCTGACTGGGAATCGAACCAGTGACCTCTTAGTTCATGGGTCCATGCTCAACCACTGAGTCACACTGGCCAGACAATTTTCCATTGGTTTTAGAGAGAGTGGAAGGGAGGGAGAGAAAGAAACATCACTGGGAGAGAGACACATTTAATGCCTGACTGGGGTCAGGGATTGAACCTGCAACCCAGGTACCTGCTCTTGACCAGGAATCAGACCCGAGACCCTTCAGTGCACAGGCTGGTGCTCTAACCACTTGGCACACTGGCCAGGGCTCAAGAACATTTTATACATTCAATGTTCCGGCTGCAGTGGAGATCTCATTATTTAAAAATGAACTCAGAAGTAGATCATTCTGTAAAGTGAAATATTATTTTCTGCAATACAAGTAATTACATCATTATCTACGCCTGGGATTTTCCCAAGATGACATGTGACGTTCTTTCTTTCTAGGTGATTGTTTTTGTGGCTGAACCGTTCTCCAGTTCTACAGATGAACGTTCTTTATCTTCCTCCACGCGCTTGATTAATCCCCAACGACTGAGTCTTGGTGCACCTGTTCAGAGCCCTTTCTTCAGAGATCTCCAGGGGACTGAGCCGTCAGGAGAGCGACATTCTTCCCTTTTGAAAAAGATCCACCTGCAGGTGGAATCAAGCTGATCTACAACCTTGGAAACTCTGAGTCTAAGCAGTGTGCAAAAAAAAAAAATGACCTCATAAACATGCATTCATAATGAATATCACATGTATCAGCCAACACCCATTAGGTAACATCGGTAAGACTTAGATTTAGGTCAAATGGCTTTTCAAGGCATCTCTGAAGCAACTAGCATCTCTACACGTGAAGTCTCTCACTGACTTATGCCAGGCTCAGTGAAACTTGGATTAAAAAGACCAAAAAGTAGGATCTGGTGCCAAGGCAGGAACACTTACAGCCAGTTAGGGTAGAAAACCGGTGTCTAAGGAAAAGCCACCAGACGTCACCCAGTCTGTAACAAGGACAAGCCAGGCAGTGGGGATGCACCCAGGTTCATGCCACAGAGGGCGATGGAGTCCCTCAAAGTAGCTGTACTTATGGCCCTGGGGTCCCAAATCATGGGGCCCCAGCAGAACTGGCTACGAAATTTGGGGCCCAGTGCAAAACAAAAATGTTCAGAAATTATTAAGGATTTCAAGACGGCGAGAGCAGAGCATTAAACCAATCAGGGCCCTTCACCCCAGGGAGCTGGACCTGGCCCTGGGGTCCCAGCAGGACCACCAGACACAAATGGACCTGCATGTCCTGCGTTTGTATTACACCTGCATCTGGCCAGCCTCGTTCCTGAGGGCAGCTCAGTTTCACCAGGCGTACGGTTGACAGAAAGACCAGTGGACACGATTCACCACCAAGCATTCTAACTTTTTACCTGTTAGATCACTTCAGAGTAA